CCGGCCCTCGTCGTCTTCCTCGTACCCGCCATGCCTGTCAGCATGGTGGTATGCCCCGCGCCGGAAGAGATGGAGCCACAGCTCCCAATGGGGGGCGATGCCCAAGTACCCCTCGCAGATGGCGACAAAGATGGTCGCCTACGTGATGGAGTTGGGGTTGAAGTTATGCAGCTCCACGCCGTAGTAATGCGGGAGCGCTCGCATGAATTGGTCCACTGGTAAGCCGAGACCACGCTCGTGGAAGGACACGAAGCTCATGATGTACCCCGCGGGTGGCCTCGGCTCTAGCTCGCCCAACGGAGCAATCCACTCCGGCCTATCGGGGTCGGTGATCGGGCGGAGAAGGCTGTCATCGACAAGAGACTGCAGCGTCTCCATGGACACATCGGACAGATCCCAAGGATCCACCGAGAGGATGACAGGAGGGCCGCCGGCCATTGCGTGATGGAGAATGAGGGCTACGGCGGTAAGTCTCTCTCTCTCTCTCTCTCTCGCTCTTCTCCCTTCTTCTCCCCGACGCTCTCTGTTCTTTGCAACGACTCGAAGGCAGAAGAGGCAAATACGGGCAAGGTAAGGAGGGGAGGGGCGAGACTCATTTCGTATTTATGCAGGGAAAGGACGAAACGGTCAGGCGATGAAATCGGGGAAGTTTCCCTCGAGTCCAGGCACAGTTAATCCAGATCCGATTTCACCGCCCATGCGCCCACCTTTTCCTCATTAATCACGCGCAGAGTTATGTCCTGTCCACTGACACCGCATCGCTTCCAACCACAGCAACAACAAGCCCCGAGAAACTGCCTCAAAAGGCGTGCCTACCGTTGTCAGCCGATGGGAGGGGAATATTCCCCCAGTCGATTCCTTCCAGACTAAGGAACTGGGCGCCGAGCCCGTTACGGTCTAGGGGTTCGAAGGCTGGGCCCCCAAAGGTCTCGACAGCCGCCCCAGGACAAACAGAGTCAGGATAACTATGGGTGAGCCCGTACATGGCCGAGGCCCAAGCAAGCGATTGCTCGGGATGCCCTAAGTTATGTCCGAGACCGGCAAGGAAGTCTCCGAATGGGATCCCACCGTAGGGAGGCACCGAGCCCCTGGGGCCAATCGAACGGCCTCGGGACCCACTAGAGAAGCCCTCTGGTACTTTTGGAGTGCGTCTCTAGACTACAAGCCGACCCCTATCGAATGGGGCACGGGCCTCCACTCGGACTTACCCGATAACAGCTCATCGGAAGTGTCACCGCTCGCGCCCACCGAGGGTAGCTTAACATATTCCACCCCTCCTTCTGAACAAAAAGGATGCGCGAGGGTCGCATAAAAAGCCAGGGGAACTCCTGATCGCCCTCTCACTCCATGCGAAGGCTCGGGGGCTCTTCCTGCAAACTTGCTGAGACCCAGCGACCCAGGCTCGCACTCGATGGGCTCGGCAAACAACCCCTCCTTCTGAATGAAAAGGATGTGTGAGGGTCGCATAAAAGGCCAGGGAACTCCTGATCGCCCTCTCGCTCCGCACGGAGGCTCGAGGGCTCTTCCTGCAAACTTGCTGAGACCCAGCGACCCAGGCTCATGCTCGATGGGCTCGGCAAACAACCCCTCCTTCCGAACGAAAAGGATGCGCGAGGGTCGCATAAAAAGCTAGGGGAACTCCTGATCGCCCTCTCGCTGCGTGCGGAGGCTCGGGGCCTCTTCCTACAAACTTGCTGAGACCCAGCGACCCAGGCTCGCACTCGATGGGCTCGGCAAACAACCCCTCCTTCCGAACGAAAAGGATGCGCGAGGGTCGCATAAAAAGCCAGGGGAACTCCTGATCACCCTCTCGCTCCGCGCGGAGGCTCGGGGGCTCTTCCTGTAAACTTGCTGAGACCCAGCGACCCAGGCTCGCACTCGATGGGCTCGGTGAACAACCCCTCCTTCCGAATGAAAAGGATGCGCGAGGGTCGCATAAAAAGCCAGGGGAACTCCTGATCGCCCTCTCGCTCTGTGTGGAGGCTCGGGGGCTCTCCCTGCAAACTTGTTGAGACCCAGCGACTCAGGCTCGCACTCGATGGGCTCGGCAAACAACTCCTCCTTCCGAACGAAAAGGATGCGCGAGGGTTGCCTAAAAAGCCAGGGGAACTCCTGATCACCCTCTCGCTCTATGCGGAGGCTCGGGGGCTCTTCCTGCGCCCAAAACGAAAGCAAGCCACCCAAGCTCGCACTCGGAGATTCAGAAAAACACGACAAAAAGGGCATCGAGCCCGTTACGGTCCAGGGGTTCGAAGGCTGGGCCCCCCAAAGGTTTTGACAGTCGCCCCAGGACAACAGAGTCAGGGATGATTGTGGGCAAGCCCGAACATGGCCAAAAGCCCAGGCAAGCAAATGCTTGGGAAGCCCTAAGTCATGTCCGAGACCAGCAGGGAAGTCTTCGAATGAGATCCCACCGTAGGGAGGCACCGAGCCCCCGGGGTCAATCGAACGGCCCTGGGACCCACTAGAGAAGCCCTCTGGAACTTTTGGAGTGCGTCTCTGGACCGCAAGCCGACCCCTATCGAATAGGGGCACGGGCCTCCACTTGGACTACCCGATAACAGCTCACCGGAGATGTCACTGCTCGTGGCCACCAAGGGTAGCCTGACATGTTCCACCCCTCCTTCCGAATGAAAAGGATGCACGAGGGCTGCCAAAAAAGACAGGGAAACCATCGATCGCCCTCCCGCTCCGTGCAGAGGCTCAGGGGCTCTTCCTGCAACTAGGCCAAGTCCCAGCGACTCGAACTCGCCCTCATGGGCCTAGCAAATGTGATAAAATTCCTCGCTCAACAGGGACAAAGCCCCTGGAGGGGTAAATCCACTCCTCCAGGGCCTCGGGGGCTACACCCGGTGGGTGCGCTCGCGCGCACCCACCGGAACCTCAAAAAGCAAAACACAATACCGACGGGAGCAGCTGCAAGCCAAGTCTCGACAAACCCTTAGGGAAAGTGCTCGCACCCCCCCGAGGCTCGGGGGCTACTGTCGGATACCATAAAAAGGGGTACCCTAAGCAAGAACTGAAAAGATTGCTTAAAACCTCACAAATATCAAAGCCAAAAGACAATCACAGGGTCTCAGCCGATTCTCCGACTCGCCTGAAGCACGCATCGCAACGACTCTCCGCCTCGCTGAGGCCCCCTCGCCGAGGCCCTCTCGTGCCGAGGCCCCGCTCCGTAAGGCCTTGGACGGGTTACCGATTCTCCGATTCGCCCGAGGCCCCGCGAGTGAAGCCTCGGACGAAGTACCGATTCTCCGACTCGCTCGAGGCCAGCTCGGCAACAACCTCGTCGCCACCGCCTCGACCGACTTCTCTAACAAAACGTCACGCGTCCAACCACTCCCACGACGTCAGCCGCACGTGGGCGCAGTACAGCAGGGTGGCCGACGGGACGTGAGACAGGACGAAACAGGGGTTACTAGCCACTGTGCTCAGCACTACACCTATGCCTGGCGCCCGTACTGCACTGTGCTACCTAATTCCTACTCTAGGAGCAGCACGGCGTGGGGAAGCAGGCACGGGTCAATGTAGCCTTGGAATCATTGCATGAGACCAACTGCTCCCTCCAAGGCCTAGGCAATCCACTTCCAGGTCTCGGCAGCCTCGGGATTCACGCCCACCGAGCCCCCCACGATGGCTCGGCCTCGGCACTAGCTGAGCCTCGGCTCTTTTCACCATCAGCCCATAGCGACCAGCACACCGTCGGCCATACCCTACGTCAAGCTGTCACTGGAGTGCCCACGTCATACGAAATCGGGTGTGACCGGCGCGTTGCTCCAGTACATCAAGGACAAGACCACTATCAAGGACAAGACCACTCTGTTGACCATGCCGCTACAGTAGTAAGCTACATGACTCCGGCACGCCACCTCCGCTCGCCGCATGGCGAACACATGTATCACCCCTATCGCTCCTTCAACTATAAAAGGGGAGACCGGAGCCGTTCTTAAAAAGGGGCACTCACTAGCTCACGGAGAGAGGCTCACGTAGACATACGCTCTCCCAAGCTGCCTGAGAGCAACGTCTCAAGCAGCCCGCACCGTTCCATGCCGAGACCTGGGACTAGCTCCCTCTCTCACCCAGTTTGTAACCCCCTACTACAAGCACTTCGGTGCAAGGAATACAAGATTGATCTCTCAGACTGGACGTAGGGCACCAATTGCCTGAACCAATATAAACCTTGTCTCTTTGCATCACCATCCGGATTAGGGGCACGCAGTTCACATTTACTAGTTGGTTGAGGACCCCCTGGTCCGAAACACCGACACCAACCAAATGTAGAACATGTAAAGTGGTCTGAATGACATGCCTCAGTCGACCATTCAGTTTGAATGATGGTGAACATCATCGGCTACTTGATAAAAAAAATTAGCCTCAGCTTAGTAGTTTGGTGGTTTTTTTCCTTGTTTATTCATTGGTGGCTACCAAGAATTGTAAGAACCAAATAAAGATGCAAATAAACAACAGTTGCACTCACTACCATACAGACCTTTTGATCAGTTGCACTCACTGCCATCAGCCATCACAAGAGGATGTTGTTGCTATGGAGTACAACTGAGCATAAGTGTAGAATGGAAGGATAGGCAAATAAAGAACAGAGCACAATAACAAAACCATCAAAACAAGAATAAGGTAGCCACCTCATGTTTGTTTTATGCATCATAGGCCTTTGAATCCCACATTTACCACTAGGGCATAAACAACACAAATAGGCAACTAGTTATCAAATAAAAAGTAGCCAACAGAGGCTACAAATAGTGTTTGTTCCAATACCAAGTTCAGCCCAACAGCCAAGGGCTCAAATGTTCCCAAATCCTTGCCTATTGTTAGCCACCCTCCTAGGCAAACTACACCATCAAGGTCAGGTGTCAAAAGAACAAGCAGACTGCACAAAAGCTCCTGTTGTCAAAAGAAGAGAGAGTGGATGAGGGGGGTGGAGGAACTATACATCTCTACAGTCAACCCCCTCCTGGCCTTCTAGCCCTTCATGTGTAGTGGAACTACACATAGTAGTTTTTGGCCAGGAAGGTCCTAAGCCAAAGGGCCCTGTGGGCATCACTCATGTTCACAAAGCCCCTGCCTTGGGCCTTGTTGTCCAGGAGGAAGGTGTAGGCAACAATAAGTGCCTCCTCACTGAAGCTAGGCATCTCCATCACAGCAAGGTACAGATTGGCATCAACATGGGTAGGTCCAGTCTCCCTAAGAGCATTGGCCACATTGTTCACAGCATCTGACATGTTAGTCAACAAGAGCATCTCCTCCTCAGAGAAGTTCCCTCTCTTCCTCTTTGGGCTAGCAGCTGAGGAGGTAGGAAGCAGTTTAGTGGCCTTGCTATCCCCTCCCTGTTCACTAGGAACTGTGGTGTGGGTCAAAGGAGGACCATCAGCCTTGGCACCAACACTGTCAGCTTGGTTCTGCCCTAAGGCTTCACCAGACCCAAGTGCAAACTTGCCTGTGGCCATGGCATTAGCAAAGATAGCCTCCATCTCAATGTAGAACCTAATAGGGAAGTTAAGAAACTCTGCATCTTTAGGATGATCCTGCAGGGTTGGGCAATTGTAGTTTAAGAAAGGCAAATGTAGGTAGTCAAGGCAAAGACGAGATCAAATTGCTACCTTGCAGTGGCCAATGTAGTGCTCTTGCTCAAGCATGATAGCATGAGCCTGGTCATCCCAAAGAGCACCACTAAGGTCCTTCACCTTGCTCACCCTAGCCCATTTCTGCCTCCACTTCCTCAAGTGGTTGTACACTTGAGTTGGGCTAACAACCTCCCCACAGAACAGCTTGTGGGCTTTGGCCACAGAATTCACATCTTTGTCCTTGAAAACCTTGTCAGGCCTGCTACCATCACTAACAAGGACAACCATCCTCCTTAGCACAAAGCTAGAGGTGGTGTTGGTCCACCTCATTGCCCTCATAGACCCATTCCCAGCCACAGAAGCAGCAACATCAACAATGTTTGCTACATCTGGAGCAGCACCAGCACCAGCACCAGCACCAGCTGCAACAGGGGCAGCAACACTAGCACTAGCACCAGCTACAATAGGGGCAGAACCACCATTGATGAGCTGCTCCATCACTGAAGTACCAGCAACAAACCCACCCTCAAATGCACCTGAATCCATCCTAGGGCTGGCATGTAATGAAATCAACAACATAATTAGTCAAGAACAGACTGACAGCGATATTAACAGTTGCATAAATAAACAACAGACTGATAGATCATGAAGAACAGAATGATTCAAGAACAGACTGACAGTAAGATTAACAATAACAGAATGAATGAAGCATAAAATTGGTCTCAGCTTTGTCCACCAAATTATTACATCACCATGACACACACATGAGTTCCATAGCAGGGTACAGAAGCTAAATTCAAGAACATATTACATCAAATAGTGTTTGTTCCCCTCCCTTCCCACATAGCATTGCAAATGGCATCCCTTATTTCAGCCATGTCAACAGATTCTTGGTCTAGATGGGCTGGGGGCAGGTTGGTTGGATCAGCAGAAGCAGTGAAACCTTCCTCATCAGGCACTACTTCATCAATGCCAAAACCTAGGATCCAGTTGTGCAAAATGGCACAGGCAACTACAAGCTTCACTTGTGTCCTATACTTGTGGAAGGGTTTGTTGTCCAAGATCCTAAACCTACCATTCAGTGCACCTATAGCCCTCTCCACAATTACTCTAAATGATGAGTGCCTAAGGTTATAGAGCTCCCTTGTATTCGTGGGCCTGTTCCTTGGGCCATACTCAGACAAATGGTACCTAACCCCATACCCAGCATCTACCAAGAATATTTTACCTACACAAGACATCTACTGTGAGAATGTGTGTTAATAGGCCATGGAATATGTAATTAGTGTTGGTGTGCAATTACCTTCTGGCAAACTCAAGCCATCTTCCCTGGCTACAGCATCTGCCAAAACAGTTGCATCATGGGCAGAGCCCTCCCAGCCAGCCAGGACATAAGTGAATTTCAGATCACAATTCACAGCTATCATCACATTTTGGGTGGGATCCTTTTTCCTACCCCTGAAAGCTTGTTGCATGCGCCTAGGAACCCTTACTAGGAAATGAGTGCCATCTATAAAGCCAATGACATCCTAAAAAGCATGGGTCAGTCATTGCAACAGGTCTAATGTAACTAATGAACCCAGGGTATACAATTACCTTAAAATATGGATTCCATGTATGGCTTTCAAGAATCTTTGGGTGAGTGGTAGTGCTAGCTGGCTTTATCATTTCATTCCTAAGCTCACCCACAACATACAACACCTGATGGAAGTGCTTGTGGACAGTTTGGATGGACCTCCTAAAGGACTGGTGGATAATCCTAAATCTTTGGTTGTGCCCTACAACATGTAAAAATATGTCAACCTGCTCTTCTACTGACACCCCCTCCCTATCAGTGACAAGACTCCTCTCTCTAAAAGTTCTCACTAACTTAAAAAAAGCAGGTCTCTTCATCCTAATCATAGAAATACACTCTGAATCAATGGAGTTGTATATCATTCTCAGTGTTCTCTGTCTGTGCTGTTCATTTTCATCGCTAATCAGGGCCAGTGCTATAGGATCAGGCAGTGGGGTTTCAGGTTCAGGGGTTTTCCTTTTCAGCCTAGTGGATACAAAGGAAACCATAACAACAGTCAAGGCAGCTGCCTTCCTACACAGCATGTCACGGCTCAAAGACAGATCCATCTACAAGCATGTAAAAATGTAACATGATTTCAGCTTAATGTACCCTGCTAGGCATCAACATGAATGTGATATGAATGCATATGAACAAAAGCACGGCTGCATCTTGTATGTGATGCCTCCCGGTGCTAAATTTGGACAACATCATCGACCAATGATGGAACAAAAAACCCAGAGCAATAGTAATCAGAAACAGATCAACATCCATAACAGATCAAGAACAGCAAGGTACAAGTAACACTAACAACTGCATCAAACAGTTATGAACAGCAAGGTACAATACTAATCTCAAACAGATCAACAACCCTAACAGATCACGATTCCAACAGATCAAGAACAGCAAGGTACAAGTAACCCTAATAGTAGCATGAAGCAGTTATAACAAGTATGAAACCCTAACATATCATGAACAACAACGAACAAGAAACCCTAAGAACTTCAAGAAGCACCACAAAAAAGAAGATTGGGGGTCGATTTCACCTTGGCTCGGGGTCCAAACAATGGAGAGGAGGCAGATCTGGAAGTAGAGGATGCAGATCGGGAAGAAGACGAAGCAGATGTGGACGGAGAAGAAGAGGAACACCGCCGCCACGGAGTCCCAGCAGGAGCCGGAGCGGGGACGCGGCGAAGAACCTCGGCGCCGGTGACCGAACCCACAACCAGCCGGAGGTCGCCGCCGCCGCCACGCACCACCACTCACCGCCGGTCTCTCACGAGGGAGGTGGAAGAGCAAGCACCGAGTGGAAGAAGGAGAGAGTGGAGAGTGGGAACCCGTATATAAAGGCCGGCGAAATCGCCGCCATTTAATTTAAACCCAGCAGGCAGGGCGGGAGCGGGAGGGGGGGCGGGGCGGGACGTGCTCGAAGAAGTTTCCCCTTCCCGCCAGAGCCCGCGCGAGCCACCCCACCGCCGCCCAAAATCGCCTGCGTGCGCCGCCACGAGCTCGGCTCCAAAGAAACGAGGGTTTTCATCGTTTTCAGAGGGCGAGGCGGAGAGGCGTTTTTCGCTATGGGAAGCCAGGCTCGCTCGCGGGCCACGACCACAAACATGGCAAGTTGCAGCCCACGGGCGTAGCCGGGCCTCCGGGCCAGGGTCGCAAACGCGCCCTTAAGAGAGCAGAGCAAGGCCGGGGAGGTTCATATGAATGTTCTCTACAGTACTTCTGTGAGAGCAGACAGAGCAGCAGGTGATTATCGATTGCTCCATAGTAGACCTTAGCAACTACTCTACTCCCTCGGTAAACAAAAAAAAATGCAATTCTCAGGTTTTAAGGAGACAAACAATTCGAGATTTGAGATAAATAATTTAAACATTGACTAAAGTTATATGAAATAGTATTAACATTTATGATATAAAATAAGTATTATTAGATTAATTATGAAATATATATTAACGTTACATTTTGCATAAAGTAACGTTACATTTTGGCTTTGTCGAAAAAAAAATATTGTATACATTTTGGAGGGCGAAAGATATATTAACCTACTGTTACATTTTGGCTTTGTCAAAAAAAAATATTGTATACATTTTGGAGGGCGAAGCTTCGTGGATGCTCACCGCTTTTCAGCCTGCCTCGCCCAATTCATGCAACGTCAGCTCGTGACGCGACCATCACTCACGTACCCACTGCTGGTTCTTGTCGCTCGCCCCTTTTATTTGCCTGCTTCGTTGTTTCTTTTCATCGTCAACAAAGAGTCAAAGATACTGGGTAATTTTGCATATGGGCCCTCCACCGTCTATATCTTTCACTGTCCTATATAGCCTCCTCCGCTGCGTACTAATATACGGCCAGCCCTGTATGGTAGCCTATAGGAGTATAAAGTAATTGGAGTTTTAATATGTTGCTGGTGCTGCGATGTTTGAAAATGGGAACGTATAGTAGGTTTTTCTACCGTTTCAAGCTAGTCAATAATGCGCGGTAACAATGACGATCTATCGCTGTTAAATTAAGTAGCCAATCGGATCATGAGGATTAATTTTGCATACGATTTCATCAGTAACCTAATGATGATGGACGAGGACGCACCACCACTTTGTGTGACACTAACTATCTAGAACACTGACTAGCGGTGGTCTTATTCTAGTATTTAGTGCGCTCTCTCTGTGTGTGTCTCTCTCTGAGGACGTAGTATAGCACAGCACGCACACCTGGGCTATACTCTGACCAAAAAGTGTCTAACCAATGTTCAAAATATGTCTGATCAAAAAGTAGCTGTTCAAAATGGTTTCCTGATACTGATTTGTTGTGAGAGAAAAACAATATATCATGACTGATGCTCTGTCTCGCCACCCCAGCCAATGCTCTGTTTACCCAAAGTTCCTCTTCGGCCGATACTCCCCGATCCAGCCGATAACGTCGGTAAAGGTTACATGCATTAGTAAAAATCTACAAGGTGTGGAAGACGAGATAGAGAGAGAGAGATGTCGTCGAATTGATCCGTGAATCATCTGTCATAACCGCTCTCACTGTCCTTTTCGACAGTATGCAAGCCACGGCTCCACGACCACGAGTGATTCGTCCTCTGGAACACCTGGCCTTTGCATTTGGCTCTATATGATATGGGGATAGAAATTAGAATGATCGATCCCGGCCGGCATCCCGCAGAGTAAGCGTAACAATGACAAAGCGCACCTAGCTAGTACCACATCCGCTCGGGCGCTCGATCGGCGCTGATACGTACGGAGTAGTACGTAGTAGCTAGCACTGACATTTTGCGCCGCGTTTGGTTCCGGCCAGATTCGGCGCCGGCTGAATTCGTGGCACTGTAGTTATACTGTAGCGTTTTGTTTTTATTTGGTAATAATTGTTCAATCGTTGACTAATTAGGCTCAAAACATTCGTCTCGCAAAGTACAACCAAACTGTACAATTAGTTTTTGATTTCGTCAACATTTAGTACTCCATGTATGTAACACAAGTTTGATGTAACAGGAAATCTTCTTTTTACATAGTGCGAAAGTTGAGAGTTTTGGTGAACTAAACGAGGGCCAAACTTACGAGAATCAGGAAGGAATCTCTGGTGGTGTCGCGTCGCGAGCCAAATCTCGGCACGGCCGTCCCATCTCATAGCGTGGACCCCACGGGAACGAACGCCGCACTTTGTCGATCGCCGCTCGCTGTCTTTAAACTTTACGTAATTAATTTTTGATTTGAGATGCTGATACATCGTGTGATGATACACACCGTTCGGCATGCAGCCAGCCATGCATACACACACAGGTCGGTAGCATGCGAGCCTGGCACAGAGGCCCTGGACGGCTGCACTGCGAGCTTATCGGTTCCGGGGGAATCAATGCCTTTGCCGCCTTTGGTAACCCGATACTGCCCATTTGGATCGCCCAACGCGTCGCTGTCGGCGCCACCGGGGCATCGGCTGCGTGCAGATGCAGTTGCTCTCCTGCCCAACCCAGCAGGCAGAGGCAGCA